TTAGATTGTTTACCATCCAGAAGACAAGCTTATTGTTGTTATCAAACAACTTAGGCTGTTAAGCTTAACCTCACTATCTGTCTGCATATCAAACATTTTAGGCATAATATGGAGCAGGCATTTTTCATCAAGTATTGATATGTTGAACTTTAAGTCCTGGGCCTGGGCTAGGACTGGGTCTGGTGGTTCCCGGAACACGGCAGAAAATCCCCAATGTTCTTTGAAAAGGTTTTGAAGGAATATTGACCCTAAAACCATTTTATCCTCCAAGCGAAGTCTAGGGCAACATTGTGCTTGAGGGTACAATCAACAACATCTACGATTTGTTGAGGTCAGGAACTGAATCTGCAAAGCTCGTTCTGAGCACACTCTCCCTGCTCCCCCATGGGATTTACTGGGTATTTGACATTATCTTCTGTTTTCTGTAAACTCAAAATAGTGAAGATGGAACTAATGTGAGGTCTAGTGGCTCAAGGGGCTGTGACATCCATGTCTATGTCTGGTTCCTGCCCCTCCTCCCTGGTGCTGCCTCCTGATGTTCTTCCTGGTGGCCATGAGTTGAGCAGCTTGGCTCCCCCACACCCTTCTGCCACGATGCTCCTGACCAGCAACAGGAAAATAACTAAGAGAGCAAATCGTTTATCAAAACTGAAGATTATGAATATTTTGAAGACTTCTGATAAACTGTCATTATGCTGGAGGCTCTTGGCCTTCCTGTTGGCATTTCAAAGATACTTGATGCTGACACATGCCTGGATAGACATGTGACCAACTGGGGTGTGATTGTGTGTGTGTGTGTGTGTGTGTGTGTGTGTGTGTGCACATGTGTGCCTGTTACCACTTCCATCTGTATCTGAGGCAAACCATCAGCCTCCCCTGACAGAACACAAATTCAAAGATAAAAGTATTAAGGAGAAATTTAAAGGTGACAAAAATAGAATTTTAAATCAAGTGCAGAATCCTACATGTGGGACTCTGTGTACCAACGATGTGTTACTTAACCACACAACCAACTCAGATTTCTTTAACATCTAGAGCAAACTATGTAATATATACCTTGAGTGCTTCATTATGTAGTTATTTCCCCCTAATCCTTTTAAAAATGTCTCTACTACTGAACTATTACTCCTTTTTTTAGAATCAAATGATTACACAACAATTGCTTTTATGCACTTTGAAATACAAACATAATTATTGACAGCTATTTCTATTAAGAGTAACCAGTACTATTTAGATTTTTTCTTATAGTAACTGTTTTCAAATCCTGTATCTATAATTTCTCCATTTTGGACCTGCAAATTATGCTATTAATATCCAACATAGATTAAGGATTTTTTTTTAAAAATGATATATGCACTATATGTGAGAACATATATGTCTGATATTAGATTTTTGTCCCCATTAACAAATAAGTGAGAATGCAAATAAACAGAATGATACTTGGGAAACACAAATTTAAGGTCACTAGTATTTCCTTCCAATTAGTAAATATTATGCCAATAATGGCTGACCTTAAAAATGTATGGTAGTGTATCATTTTGTGAAGCCTGTTATTGATTTTAGTTTATTTTCCTGAAAATGAGATTTGATCGATTAGATAGATTAGAGATAGATAAATAGATAGATGGATAGATAGATAGATAGATAGATAGATAGATAGATAGATAGATAGAGGGCATGCATGTATTACCACCAGGCAGGTATTTTTATTTATATTCTGAAGGACATTTTAAATGAGTTCCTTTGTTTATTAATTCTCTTCATTTCTTCTGATTTGTTTGTCAGAGAAACCAATCATGTAGATAATTTTCTGCTCTGCTTTTCATAAGTAGCTTCTTATTTTCTACAGTTTTTGACAAGTTTGCCCTGTCTATAAATCTAAGTGTGGCCTTTTAAATTTATATTCTACATTATTGATCGTTTTTGCATTGTCAGTGTGTCCCTTCTGGCCAGTGTGTATTCATGTAAGTTCATTTTCTGTTGCTGCAGCAGGGCCGCCTTACAATGCTCATTCCTACTTTTGATGTCATTTGTTCAAGTCTTCAGGCTTTAGACATGTACCACACTCCTTGCACTCTTCCACCAGAAGAAAGAAGATGATTTGAGACAACGGAATTCTGAATAAGACTTTTTGCTTTCTTCCAGAGGTGGGTTTTGCTGATTTGCCTGTTGGTCTGTTTCTCTTTGTTGAAGTCTTTTATTCATCTTTCTTTTCTTCCATTTCCTTATTCTTGAAAGAGAACTGATCTGAGTTTGCTGCAAGGAGGTCATGTGCACTGTTTTGATTTGGTCAACTCAGAGCACTCCAGGGTAGGGTTTGCTTCTTCCGAACACATTGCAGGACACTGGGATGACTGTGGCAGTTACTCTACAGCTTAAGTTTTGCTGCTCCTCCATTGTTTCATAGATATTATAAACCAAAGTCATGAAAAAACATAATTGCCAATAGAGCAGTCCCTATTTGTCTTTCAGTAGCAAAAATCTTTCAATCAGTACAGAAGTATATAAAATAAAAATAAAAAATGTTCCTTCCACCTCTTTGTCTCCTCTCCAGTTCTTACAACCTCTAGCTTACCTACCTCCTCAGAAATTTAGCTTTGTGCCTTTCTCAGATGCCATCTCAGCAATCTTTAACTTTATAGATGAACATAGATATACACCTTACCAGTTCTTCTTCCTAATGTATAAAATATCAAGGGGATGATCTTCTATGGTATATCATGTGATGTGTTTCTATGTCTTATGTTTCTAAGAACATACATCTTATCATATCTCTCTCTCTCTCTCTCTCTCTCTGTCTTTCTATTTAATTATATTTCATAACACTTTGGGACACTCTATCTTTCAAAGACTAGCTGCTTATATCACCTTGCTTTTATAGTACATGCTGCACTGAAATCCTTCCCAATGTGCTCCTTTTGTATAACAACTGCAAGGATTTCTACAGTTTTGTGTTTAAAAGAAGAGCTTTGTCAATAAATGGGAGTTGTTTACGGTTTTCACCAATTGTGCCATGGTCCTCTTTGAGAAGGCCCCGCTGAATCACTCTCCTCTGCAACACTCCATTCTCTACACTCTTTCTAACTCACATTACTTATAAAAAGTTCAATTACTATACAAATGTGATGGGCCAATGGATTTTATCTTACTATTTTAGTTAACACCATTTTAAAGTCTTGAATATGCTTTAAATTTTTGTCCATTTTCTTCAACAAATTTTCTTGATTGTCCCTCTTGCATAACTTTTGCTGTTGTTGCTGATCTTTTACTGATTTGCACATAGACTTCTTTGGTGCTGAATATCAGGTTGTTCTCTGTTTGCTGTTCTAATTAGTATCTCTCAACCAGTTGGGTGTGTTTGTTTTTTATTTTTATTTTAGTTCTGTGTTCAACTAAGTCAACCTTTTTCTCTTGAGTCCCAGATTTTGTGTACTGTTTCAGAAGTTTCACTACCTCAGAAAAATGAAACCTACTATCATTACAAGATCCTATTTAACAACTCTTTAGTTGATTCTGCCCTTAGATTTTGAGTGGGAAGTCAACCTGGATTTCATTTTCCTCTTTCCTAAAGAGTGCACAAAATACATACTCTCCTTTGACAACAAAAGGGGATGGGTTTCATGATAATTCAGTAGGATCTGTGATCAGCATATCTGCTGATTTTATTTTTATCTCATGCAACTCTATTTCTTATTGTTCTGTTACAGTCATCTGCACATTTATCTCCAGCCTGAATTTACATGTAAGAACTCAAATTCCTAATTCAGATCCTGTCCAGACCAAAGTTCAAAAAGTCATTTCTGTACTAAAGTCAAAAGATTCTCCAAGATAGGTGCTGGATGCTATCCAACTTGTCCATTCTGACTCAGACTGAAATAAACTCCTGAGATCCTGGTGTCCAGAGGGAAGTATAGGGTGTGAGGATCCAACTATATCGGTACACACGAAGCACATGGAGCAGTGTGCAGGCCATAAGCTCCTAAGCTGGAGCAGAAAGCACAGTGAGGAACACAGAACCAAACTGTGCTGGGATGGTTTGTTGGCTGCGTGATCCTGCTCAGCTCATCCTGAAGTTGGTCCAGTCTCAGTTGGCAGACAGCATACCTGGGAATACGACCTTGTAGAGGAGCAGAGTACATCTCCAGTCTTAAATTTTTCAGCCTGGACATGTGGAGCAGCAGGCTCTGCAGGGTGCCAATGGACATGGAATTCTACATGTAGCTGAAGATGGTGAGCTGGGAGCAGTGGCTCAAGGCTGGCAGAAAGGTCCAGAACTGGGCATCTGTGATCCCACAGGCCTGCAAGTGTAGGCTGGTCAGAGTGTCTGCAAGGTTATTCAGGAGAAATTGGAGTGGATTAAGAGAAAAAAGGGTTGGGTTGATACTGTAAAGAACCAAGTGTTTCAGGTGTCTGATGTTTGGACACTGTGCCAGCTGCTTCCAGTCAGACTATGAGAGTGGGCAGTAAACTAATGAGAGTTTCTCCAAAGGGGACAAGAGGGATCTGAGCACCTGGTTCAGGTAGCCTTGCAGGAAGGAGACAGAGTCCATATAAATCTCCTGCAGACAGCAAAGCTTAAGGAATTCAGAGGTGATTTTGGTGAACAACTGCTCTTTCTTCTTTGGGAAGAAGTTGGCAGACTCAGAGATGTCACAGAGAATTAGTTAAGTTTTCTCATCTGGCTCAAGTAAGGGGCAAAATGAACCAGCGTGGAGAGATTCCAGTAGTGACCCACATCCACTTCCTCTACAGAATCAAGGTTCAGTATTTCTAAGACCTCTGTGATCTTTTGAAAGCATGTGGCTTTAATCCACAGCTTTAGACAGTCCAGCTGCACCAGTCTTCTCCTCTCCTGGACCTACGTAAGGAGGCAAGATTGACTAGAAAGAGGACCTAGACAATCCTCATCGAGAGCCAGATCAAAAATCACCTTGAGGGGCACAGCTTTTGTTGTGCATGACCCGGTTTCTTCTTTTTCTCTCCTCTGGATGGCCTCTGAGGTGCAAGCTTCAAACTGATTTCCAGTCCAGAATCTCCAGAAGTTCTGGTGTACATCTTGTGTATCTAATATTTGCAATTTCAACCTCCTGGAACAAACCTTCTGGCTCAGCAACACATAGAGCCCATCCAGCACAGCTTGAAACATCCATTGCTGCATGAGGACAAAATCCAGGTGCATGTCCAATGTTCCTGGTTTCTTCCTGGTCATCAGGGCTCCCAGAGGCAGGGTGGGATAGGACCAGGATGGTACCATGGACTTCAAGACCTGTGTGTTTCCCCTGCTGAAGGCCTCCACGAACACTGGTGGGAAGAGCTCCCCTGAAAAATCCTCTATGGCTTCCATGGCCAGAACCTCATCCCTCAGCAAGATCCCAATTGCTAGCTGCATGTGGAGACCGAGTGCTCATCCTGGTGAATCTGGAAGGCCACAGGTGCTGGGAAACACTATTTTACTAAAATCTCAAATATCCTCTGCAATTCCTTTACAACAGGATGTTCACACAGCCAGTCCAAGAGCGTTATTCAGTCCTTCTTGTTGCTGATGGGGGCTGCACTGTGACCCATCACTTTCACCAGCCCTCCTACTCCACAGCAGGTTGTCATATGCCATGTAGCTATTTCAACTGTTCACGCCTTTGTTCCTGAAGCTCATGACCCCTATGGTGCTGCCAACTCATCCTGTGCCTTCTGTAATCCCAGCACTTAGGAGGCTGTAAACAGGAGAATCACCAGTCTGATCTAGTAGTGAGACCATGAACACCCTGTAGACTGTTCCCAAGAAGTCCAGAGGCTTTCTTAGTATCTCACTCAGTAGGTCATGGCTACATGAGGTCAAGGCAAGAAGTAATTTATTCAATGCCTGGTTTTGCCCCTGGGAGTTTGCTGCTGTCAGTAAGGATTGGTGGCCACACCTCTCATCCCAGCACAGAGCTGAATGAGGTGGCTTGGTGTTTTGAGTCCCGAGAATGCAAGCAGGGGCTCCAGCCTCCAGATATCTGATTTTAAGTAGGGTCATACTTTCAAATCCCTTTTAGATTTGCCTGCCAGCACAAAACGACATATGGATAAATTCATCAATGTAAAAAGTCTTTCCCTAAAAAATTTATTTTTGCTATAAGTGCTTATGATTGAAGATTGTGGATTGGAAATGTTGTGCAATTGATACTTTCTATCACACAGGAAGTTGCTGAACAAAAGAGACAACTTAACTCAGAATTGTTTCACATAGGTTGAAGATCTATCCCGGAACAGGTCAGGGATATTTATCTTACAGACCATGTTTACAGGTGATAGCTACACTTAGTTTTATACCAATATCAGAATCCTGAGTTCCAGCTTCTTACCTTTCCTTAGCATTTATATTGAGATTTTAGTTATTTGGTACAATGTGAAATTTTAATTTTCAATCCACCATTATTATACACATTTCAAGGTTAGTAAAAGATGAATCATTTACAAATTGCCTCAAAGTGAAAATTTTAAACCTTAACTGCCACTTGCAAAAACTGATAGAAATTAGTACTACAATCATCTCAGGCACCCTGTTTAAATATTTACATGATTTTTCCCCCTTCTTTTTCTCCCTATCTTTTTCTCCTTTCCCTCATCTTCATTGTTTATTTCTCACTTCTTGTTTTTGCTTTTGCATTTTTGCTCTTTAAAATAAAATGAAAAACAAAAATTGCTTCAGAGAAGGATAAAACCTAGATGACCTTGTTTTCCAGACCCCAATGTTCAGATACAGACAAGAGAAATATCCAGCCCACACGGCAGTGTCCACAGGAAGCCTCTGGCTGCCTCCCCTCCTTGGCCTCAGACATCCTCTGGGACTAACGAGGGAACAGTTAGTCTCTAGTTACATTATTGAAACCTTGATCATCCTTTCCCTGTTGCCTGCTCTGCTACCGGAGAAAGGAACAGGAACAAATTGGTTGATTTGGGCTTGGGGATGTAAATGTTGTGATTTCTTATGGTTCATGTCTGAGAATGATGACCACGTTTTCTGAAGAGGAATCACCTTTGACATGTCAAATCACTCATGGAATTCAAAAACTTTCAAGGAATGTCAAAAAGTTCATTTTCCTAGGTAGCTGCATCCGCGAGGAGTGAATCCTCAGCGTGGCCTTCACAGTCGGTCCCATTTTTGATGCTCACTGCCTGGATAAGTCTTTCTTTCTTTTTTCTCTTGGTCTTCTAATCAGTGATTGCACGGGTATGTTGGGACGATAAATTAAACAACAAAGTGGTGACAATATGCTTGAGGAGGTGCTAGATTGGTACAAGTTATGCTTATTAACTTTGTGGGCCATTATTTATAAACCATAAGGAAAACCTGAATTTACACCAACTCACCATACCATGACCTGAGAAATGACAACTGTGTGGCAGGATAAAAAGAACATCATTCTCATAATCCTTCCACAGTAAATTTGTTTCTAGGAGACCAAGTGATTTGGGGAATTTGAAATGAACAAGAATTTTCATGAGAAAAGCAAACAGAGAGCCAACAGCTACACACACTTTATGGACAAAAGTAAATAAAAGGAAAGCAAATTTTGAATTCTGGGAGTATGTAACACATACAGGGTTGATCAAATATATGAGAATGTTTACATTTTTAAATTTTATTTCAAAGAGAAAAAGGAAAACAATTTCAAAACAAGATAATAGAGTAACAATGGTTAATACATTGTGGATTGTTCTATTTAAATTAGTTCATCAGAGTACAAGATATCAACATTTAATTATCCAAACATTATTAACACAAACTTTTCTTTTTGATGAATGAAGATAAATTAGTAGTGTGACTATCACAACTATCCACTTAGCTATGTATTCTAAATAATAGCAATATGTTTATACAAGCAGGAGGGTAGAAGATCAAAATGAAAATGTAAGAAGAACTCATTGTTTCTGTAGGATTTTAAGTAAAATCTTCTGCATAGTTATCTTCTCCCTCAGTGACCTATACTCCTTGATAGCGCTCAGGCTTCACAAAGAACATTAGAAATTACATCAAATTTCACTAAGCAAAATGATAGGAATTCAGTAATTGTTTCACATGGCTTACCTATTTTTATTGCTAGTGGTCCTTCTGTTTATTTATTTTTTGACCAACCCTACTGTTTTGAAGGTGCTCCACACTCATTTCCATAGTGGTTGCACCGGTCTACACTCCCATCAACAGTGAAGAAGGGTTCCTTCTTCCCCAAGTACCGCCATCATTTCTTACTAGTTGATTTCTTGATAGCAGTCATTCTTTCTGGAGTGAGATAGGATCGCAACGTTGTTTTAATTTGCATCTCTTGAATGATCAGTGTATTGGTCAGGGTTTTAGAGGAACAGATATAAAATAAGGAACAGATATTAACAGAAGATATATAATGTAAAAGGAATCACAAGATTGTCTTACTAAAGCAGCAGAGTCAGATGAGAAAGCGGGCAGAGGGTGTCTGCACACCCCAGACTGAAGGATTCAGTCCCAAGGTCTGAAGCTCACTGCTGTGCTCTCTGCAAGTCTCTATCCGTCAGCTAATGGGTCTGCGATGGAAGACAGAAGAGTCTGTGATGGACACTGAAGTCTGTGATGACGGAAGGAGGCCAGAGAGTCTGCGCTGCAAGCCAGGCGACGAAGTCCACGCCAAATAAGAGTGAAGTTCCTCTGACAAGTGGTACATGACTCCTTCCTCAGCCCCTTTATATGGTCTCTTTGTGCTGAGTCACTTTGGGGCGGGCCCATTGTGCCCTAGAGTGGAACCAATCGCACTCCAGGGCAGGCCCTAGTCCCGCTCTAGGGAGGAAACAATCACGCCCCAGGGCTGCCCATTGAGTCCTAGGTCAGAACCAATTGTGCCCCAGGGTGGCACCCCCACAGGCTGGAACCTGGCCACGAGTCATCCAGCCAAGTTGATACAATGTATCAACCACTACAACCTGTGATGTCAAATATGATTCCAAATATTTATTTGCTGTTTGCATTTCTTCATCTGAAAAGTGTGTATTCATCAGATGCCCATTTTTGGACTGGGTCTTTAAATCTGGTCGGTCTGATTTTTTTTGTTGTTGTTCTTTATATGTTCTCAATAGCAATCTTTTGTTGCAGAAACAGCTGGCAAACATTTTAAAAAATTATTACAGTAAAAGACACATTGCTATAAACTCTCAAAACCTTCCTTGTCACTTTGAACATGCTTATCTCAGCACTTGGGCTCCTTTCTCCAGCAATTCTGGAAGTCCTCTTTCTTGAGGGTTGATAAGAGGTGTGATAAATTCTGTGGAGACTACTGCTGCAGCGGGCAATGAGAGGCAGCTCATAAGATGCTAAGGCTGCGTCCTCACCCACCTCAATCACCAGACCCAGCACCGTGCAACTTCTGGCTCTCCCTCCAGGTCTGAATGAACATGAAAGGGAAACATTTTAAATCTATTCAGAGGCTGGTGAGATGGCTCAGTGGTCTAAAGCACCTGCTTGGAGCAGACTTAGCAAAGCACAGGGTCCGCGGTTCAGTCCCCCAGCACCACATGCCAGCCAGCCCCGCCCCCTGGTGGGCTGAGCTGGCCACACACGAAATAAATAAATAAAATTTTGGGGCCGGGGAGATGGCTCAGTGGAATAAGCACTTCCCTGGCAAGTGCAAGGGCCTAAGTTCAGTCCCCAGTTCTGAAAAAAAAAAAAAAAAAAAGAATGCCACTTTGGGGGCCTGCCCCTTAGCTCAGTTCTTTAAGTGGCTGCTTCAACAAAGCCGTCAGCCTCAGGTTGCTGTGGTTTGATCCCCACTACTCAAGCCAGCCAGTCATGCCTTGAAGGCATTCGGAGCAAAAAAAAAAAAAAAAAACACTTCTGCCATTTTTATGGCTGGGGAGATAGCTCAGTGGAATAAGTGCTTGCCATAAGATCCTGAGTTTGATCCCTAATACCACCCCCCCAAAAAAAAAATCCATTCAGAGCGTCAAGGCAGTAAGGACGGCTCACTAATGACCTCTGGGCAGGGACCCACAGAGCTGCTACAGAAAGGATGACGTGATCATGGTGCTCAAAGCAAGGGAGAGGTTGTAGAGGGGACTCATGGCAATGCGTATTTTCTTTTTTGAGACTATAAAAAATAGTAAAAGGAAAATCATAGCATGAGCAATGATAGAGAATTTCACTAAACAAAAGGATAGGAATTCAGCAATGGTTGGTATATTGCATATTGGTGTCTTCAAATTAGTTGTTCAGATTATAAAATGCAAGCTGTAAGGTTGGTCAAGAAATTATTAAAAGAAGTGAGAAAAAAATAAGCATTAACTGCTCCTTCATTTAATAAAAATTTTAAAATTGAAATATTTGCCATATTTTTCAATCATAGTGCGTACTGATGTCCTTATTAGCACTGACTCTAGAGAGTC